CTCTTTTACCAAAAAAGCGAGGCTTTAAAATTACCTGCATCAAGGGAGGATACCATCTTTGATATTCCAGGAAGATATATTTATTTATCCCTCTGTTATACCTGTTTGGGTCCCTAGGACATAAATCCTAGAATAGAGTAAGTTTATTCTATATTGATATTTACTTTTACCATTAAAGCGAGGCTTTAAAATTACCTGCATCAAGGGAGGATACCATCTTTGATATTCCAGGAAGATATATTTATTTATCCCTCTGTTATACCTGTTTGGGTCCCTAGGACATAAATCCTAGAAGCTAGAGTAAGTCACAGAATGGAGGGAGGGGGCAGGAAGGGGCACGACCGTTTGTTGATCTGCACAGGTATCTCATTTCATCCTAACTGCAGCCCAGCAGGTCCTTAGCGCCACGCCACGCTGAAAGTTCAGGGCACAAGGCCAGAGGGCACAGCTGGTGGCGGTGGAGCTGAGCTTGGAACCTGGGCAGTTTGGCTGCGGAGGCCCAACCACAGGGCAGCCAGGGGCAGAAGGAAGGCCAGGCTCCTCAGCCCAGCTCTCAGCTGTCCTCAGGGCTGACAGTGACCTCAAAGGCCCTACCCACCTTCCCCCCTCAAAAAAAAGCTTGGAAGACCACCCAATGTTAGCGCTGAGAAGGCAGTACTACAGATAAGCCGGCCCTGCGGCTTAAACTCTCTTTGGACGTTAATAAAAAAGACTCACCCACCCATTTTATAGATGAGAAAATACGCCCAGAGAGGTCTGGATTCTTGGCAAAGCCACACAGCAGATCCGTGCCCAGTCTCCTGGATTCTGGCACTGCCCTTTTGGCAAAGTACCCACTCAGAATGGCACCCAGCATGGCTGGGTGGGTTGCCAGAGTGCCTGTCCGGTGTCACTGCACTTTCTGTCCGGCCCTTGACTTTCTGAGCTCTGGTGTTCGTTGGCTGGTGGAGGTTGATCGCTGTGCTGAATGGCAGTGGGATCCCACGGATTCCGGGTAAGGGCGGCTTCCCACATCTCCCCCTTATTTTTTCTTTAAAAAATAATGAAGTCCCAATTTCAATGTCCAAAAGTTCTGAGTCCATGTTTCAATGTCCAAAAGTTCATGTGTACACCAGCAATGAAAAATGTTGGCTCTGGATGGTGGACAAATGCAGGTCCGGTCCTTTCTGGTCTGGTCCTGGGCACCCTGCAGCGACGCACAGCTGCTGACTGCTAGCATGGCAAGGCGTCTTCCACCATCTCCAGCGAGCGGGAGCCGTGTTTGTCGCTGCGCTGCCGAGTGGAACAGATGGCTGGGGAGGGGAGAGGGTACGTGGCGGGAGGAGGAGGGGTGCGGGGGCCGGCGGATGAGGAACCAAGAATTTCGACGCCCCGAGTCTCCCAGGAGAGGCCCCCTCCCCATCTCTTCCCAGTCGCCCGCCCTGGGGGCGCCCCCGACTCCCCGAGCCCCTCCTCCCCTCCAACCCGGCGCTGGCCAGGCCGCGGGGTCGAGGCCTCTGGGAGCTGCCCAGGTTGTGCGGTTAACGGGGCCGCGCTCCGGGGGGCGAGGGGGCGGCGGGAAGAGGGCTCCGGAGCTCGGAGCGTGTTCGGGGAGCTTAAGTAGCTGTCGGAAGGAGTGCTAATTGGAACTTTATGCAGATGAGCGGGGAGGGGTGAGGGAAGGGGGAGGGAGGTCAGCCGGCGCGGGACCCGAGCCAGCTCCGAGCGGAGGGTGGAAGGCTCCGGCCGGAGAGTGGCGGGTGTGTATCGCGTATCCGTGCGCATCGCCCGGGGCACTGGTCCTTGGAGTTGGGAGGTGTCCTCCCTGGCACTCCCCTTGCAGGGTCTCCGCATCCCGGACCAGAAGTTCAGTCTCTCAGATCGTCAGGAGGGGCGAGGCGTGTGGGGTGGGGTACCCCCACAAGTCTCTTTCCTCCGCGGCTGCGTGTCACCTCCACTCTGGGTGTCACCTTCTCCGAGTCCCCCGTTCCCCTTCTGCCTCCGTGTCCTCTGCTCCCCATCGCTGGCATCACCCTCTCCAAGCAGGAGTCTTGTCTGTAACTCCCATCAAGTCTGCGTGGAGGGGGCGGGACCTAACATTTCTTCCTTTGCTTTCTCCTGTCTACACCCGCACCCCCACCGACCACCCACATCGAAGGAAATGTTTCTCAACCTTTACAGTGCTTCGTAACCCACCCCGAGTGCTGGAATGCAGATTCCAGGGCCCCTTAGAGATCCGATTCGGCGGTCTGAGGGGCTCAGGAATCTGCATTCAGCAGCTTCCGACCCAGGTGTGATGTCAAAGCCCCGAGAAACATGGTGCAGGAAACCGGTGGGCTGCAAAGACAGGACATACTCCCTTCAACAGCCCTGCCTGCCTCGCCCAGGCCTTCCTCCATGCTCCTGACCTCACCCCTGCTCAGGGTGGCCATCTCTGCTCCCAGGATGATAGGACCAGGTGTGGAGAAGTTGCCAGGGAGGAGGGAAGGGAGGAAGAGGAAGAAGAAGAGGAGAGAGAAAGAGTCTGAACCTAGCTCTTGTTTCTCTGAGCAGGGTCTTACCCTTCCACTGTCTGCTGCCTGCTTCCCTCCCCTTGGCCTTCGCTTCTCCATCTTCCTCTCTCTCCCCCAGCCTCACCTCACTTCTCACCTCACTTCTCTTCCCTTCCTCCTCCTCACCCAAAGTTTCTAGCAAGGCCAAAGGGTCCTGGGGTGGGCAGTGTGGATCTTAGCAGGGGATGGCAGAGCCAACCCAATTCCCCACCTCCAAAGTAAAGAGGTAGAGGCACCCTGGGGTTGGAAAAAAACAGAAGGAGGGAGGCAGGAGGAAAGATAATAACAGCGAACATGTAGGTCACCTTTCCATGGGCTATGCACTTACTTAACACAGCAGCCCAATTTAGACAGGCACTATTGCTCCCAGGTTACAAATTATGAAGAAGAAAAAGAAAACAGAAAACACAAGGGATGTTCAGAGTGGTTAAGTAACTCCCCCAAGGTCACACAGTAAGCAGGAGAATAACTAGGTTATTCACCCTTTTGCTTGCCCAGAATCATGTCTCCAGAGGATGCTGGGTAGCTGTCCCAGACCTGCCCTCCCTGCCCCTCCCCCAGGGGCAATGGATTGGGAAGGGCATCATGTCCAGAGATGAAAGGAGATGCTCAGGTTTCGGAACATCTGACAGGTTTGGCTGGAAGCATTAAAAATTCATGTGGAAACTTGACCCCTGCTGGACCTTGGGCCTGCCACCTGGACTGTCCCTGGCATTGTGGTCTCTCAGAGCCTGGTGGGCGAATTTCCCTTCAGCAGGGTCCTGGGAGCCCCAAGTCTTTGTATTCCACAGGAGGGGGGTTCTCTTATGGATTACGGAGCTAAACTCAGGAGCCAGCAGCTCAGAAAGCAGCGTGAAGAACCCTGCTCCCACTCCCAGTGTAAGAACCTTAGAGGCTTAAGGGCTTACAAACCTTGTCATCTGGCGGCCTTTTATTCCTCTCCCCAGATAGACGGATGCTCACTCTCAGTTCAGGATACTGAAGCCTGGCTGTGATTACCAAGTGGCCAGTAGGAGGCAGCCATCTGCCTGGAGGCAGCCTGAGCCTGAGCCTGAGCCTATCTGCAGCTCTGAAGGACAGTAAAAGAATCCCTATTGATAAGGTTAGAGAGATGCAGCATTGGCCTTGGGGAAGGGCTTTGGATTCGGCACCTGAGGAGAGTGAGAGAGGGTTCCTAGTTTGGGGAAGACTGAGGGACCTAAGGGGGAGTTCAAGGTCAGTTATAGGCTTCAAGTGCATAATAACTGATGGCCAACATGATGCAATCATTCTAGTTGGAGTGGAGGTTTGGGACATGGCCCTGAGACAAAACTAGAAAGGCTGTTGGTACCAGACTCGGAAGGATCCTGGATGCTTTGCTAAGGTGTTTTACCTTTAACCTGTAGGTAATAGGGAGTCATTGTAGGTTCCTGAGTGACACCGGGACATAATGCACCTTTCAGCGAGCCTGCATCTGGCCACCATGGCAGGCTGGTGGGAGGGAGAGAGAGACTGAATGTAGGAAAACTGGAGAGGAGGTTGGTGCTATTTTCTCCTGCATTTCTAGGCATGAGGTAATGAGATGAAGCAGGGAGGTGGAGGGAGAATGGAAAGGAAGGGATGGACTGGGGCTGGAGAGGGATTGGGTGAGTAGATGTAAGAGATTAGAAAGGGGAGGAGATAACTACATTTAGGCTGGGTGTCAGGAAGGCAGAATGTGGGTACACCCACAGAATGGGGGAGGTGAATGAGTTTTGTTTCTTTTATGCTGGGGAGTCTTGGACAAGTCCCTTCTCTCTGGGCCTCAGTTTCCCCATTAGAACATTGGACTGGATGGCCGTTCTAGTCCCTCCCATTTCAGGGTGTATGAAAGTAGTGAATCCGGGAGGTTTGGAGAGGCTGGGGGTCTGTGTGTGTGAGAGAGATCTCTGTGGGTGGCTCTGTGTAGGGTCCTGTGTGAGCGGCTGTGTGCATGTCAGTGTTGGAGGTGCATCTGCCCTTTGTGGGACCCGTGGGTGTTGGCATGCCTGCACGTGTTCTGTAGCTTGGCTCTGTGGGAATGTGTGTGAGAGAGCGTGCGAGCGTGGGAGTGCACGTGATGGGCGTCCGTGGGTCTGTCTGGGCTGGTGGGGGTGAGGGTGGGGGAAAGTGGCATCGCTGTAGGCTTCTTCCTGAGGCTCACACACTCCTCTTGCTTTCACTGTTCTGAAATAGCATCTGGACCGAAGGCCCATGAATATTTCACAACGATAATTCCGTGACCTGGACAGCCTGCTGCTGATTTACCAGCATCCTCCCTCCCCCTGCCCAGGCCCCGGCAGCCCCTCCTCCATCAGAGCTCTTGCCTGGCTGTGTCCCCCTCCCCCCCAACCTTAGCCTCTGCAAAGCCAGCCTGACACAGGCCCCTGTGAGACCCCAGCCCCAGAGACCCCCTGCTTCCTGACTAGCTGGTTGCTCTCATTACCCCCACCCCCGCCCCACACCTTTTCCCAAAGTCCACCTGCCTCGGGCCTTCGATGTTGAGCCCTTCCTGTTTCTGCATCTCATCTCATCTTCCTTCTGACTTGCCTGGCTAGAGTCACAGAATCTCAGCATTCTTCCTCCATGAACCCTGGCATCCAGGTCCCCTCTTTCCATTCCCACCTCCCAAGTTAGATTCGTAACCCTAAATTTAAACCATCGGACAGCTCCTCATGCTTCTGTCTGATGAGCCTCACCCCTAACATGCCTAATCTCTATCGTAGGTCCCTCTTAGCCCAGGCTCGTCCCTTACGCCGGTCTCCCCTCCCCACATGGGCAGATGCAGCTTCTGAGCATGCTTCAAGCCAGCAAGGCACCCCAGCGTAGGATTCTTGCCTCTGGTCACCCAGCCCCTTGGTTTCTCCTCTAACCTGGAGAACTGGTTCTCTGACGTGGTCCATCGCAGGAGCCAGGGACGGGCTGGCTGCTGGGCTGCGTACCGGTGTGCAGACTGTGCACCGCGCACGGGCACTCAGCGGAGGGCACGTGGGAGCTGCTTGCTGAGTGTTTGGTCTGGTGCGGGGCTGGATTCCCCCGCAGAAGAGGTGTCTTTTTCGGACTTGCTCTAAGTCGTGTTTGGGCTGGCTGTGACCATGGATGGCTATGATTCCTCCTTGCAAGAAGGTGGGAACTGGGAGGGAGCCAGCCAGGCTGGAGGCCTTGCCCAGGCTTAGCTCCCTGGGCGCCACACAAGTCAGGGTCGGCTGGAGCCACATCTCCTGGACAAAGAGGAGCCAAGGTGCTGTCAGCCCCCATCTTGGCCTGCCTGGGACTCCAGGCCACACCCCTGTTCCTCAGGCGCAGCCTCTTCTCCCAGGGGGAGCAAGAAGCTCTTCAAGGGCACAACGGGCCCCCCTTTCTCTAATCCTCCTGGCCCTGAAATCCTGGTGGTTCCTCGCCCTCCTCCCATTTTTGAGGTTCCGAGCCAACAAACCTTACAGAGGAGATAAAATAATAGAATTTTTAATAAATTTCCCCCCCAAACAACTTCTGTTGATCTTCACCACACAGGGGCCACGGTGGAGAGGAAAGATCTCTCCAGGCACCCTAAAAAGTGTCCCGGGTAGACGTAGGAGAAAAGTACTCCTCCCGTGTCGGGAGACTGAGAGGGGCTAGAGAAGCAGGGGCCCAGGGTCAGCCTGGCTCCCCTGGGCATCCCTCCGCAGGGCTCCTGGGTGGGCTCCCTTCCGGAGCTTCTGAAGGCTCTGCTGGTGGAAGATGCTCTGCAGACAAAGTTCCTCTCGAGTCCGAGTCCGCGGTGGGCATTGCGAGAAGGGTCAGCGCCGGCCTGGGATGCCCCACCCCACCGTGGGATGGGACCGAGTTCCTGGCCAGAGTTGGGGAGAATGGGGGGGAGCCACCAGACACAGCCCCTTGGGACAGTCTTAAGCCAGCATCCCAGGGGGCAGGGAGAGGCGGCCTGGTCCCAGGGGAGGGCGGAGCAGGGAG